GATGCCCCCACCAGAATGCCTAGATGTCCTGCCTGAAAACTTTTATGCCCCACTTGAATGCTTTAATAGATGCCGCACCTGAATGCTTAGATATCCCACCTGAATGCTTAGATGCCCCACCTGTATGCTTTGATGTTCCACGTGAATGCTTAGATGCCCCACCTGAATGCTTAGATGCCCCACTTGTTTGCCCAGATTTCCCACTTGAATGCTTATGTGCCCAACTTGAATGCTTTGGTGCCCTACCTGAATGCTTAGATGCCCACCTGAAAGCTTAGATGACTCATTTGAATGCTTAAATGCCTAACCTGAATGCCTAAATGCCTAATCTGATATTTTGGTTATTTTGAAATATACTACTTACATATGGTATTTATGGTTTTATACTTGATAATATCAGCTAATGTATCATTCAAGTATCAGATGATAATATAAGCCTTTAGTTGTTAATCATCAGTGTTTTGCTGCTTTTCTTTAAAAACTGTGATTCATAAATAATAATTTTTGTTTCCAATATTTCCAGAGTCACTGCTACAGTTTTGCTTATTCCTGAAAAGAAACACCAGTTAGCCATATTAAATTTGTTATATGTTGACTTATTTTTAGGTCTGACAACGGACGATACTTGTTCATACCTCCGGAACGATGTGAAAGTATTATGAACATTTTGAGGATAGGTACGGGGATGACAAGTTCTTTGTTTTGTTTTTAAATTAGTATTCCAGTGAAGCAAACATTCATCTCACTCATGTTATTAGAGAACCAGGCCCTTTTTTTTAAGAAAAACAAAATAGAACAATACTCTATCTCCCTCTGAATTGTTAATTTAAAACCAAATTGTTGGGCAACCAGCCATTAGTATATACTGATAATATTGATCGGCCATGAAGACAATAGCATTTGTTGTTTGTTGTGAAAGCTTACTAAAAACAAAGGCTGAATCCATATGTATTTGTACTATTCTGAGAGTAAATCAACATCCTCCATGTATCTGCAGTCTTCTTCAGTACATTAACATTATGAATAGTTTAATAAAATACTAAAAGTTTTTAGTTATCCATGTTGCCACATTAATCAGACAACTATTACAAATTGAACTTTGTTTTAAACAATTTTTTGGGATCCAATCACTTAGTGCAATCAGATAATCATTTTCTCTTTTAGTACCTCATTTTGCTTATTTATAAAATGTGTTTCTACTATTTGTTAAGTTTGGACCATATGTATGTACTGGCTACCAGTCTTGGTCAATTATTATTTTTTCTTTTAAACCAGGAAGAAAATTGTGCTTATTTGTTTGTGACAAAAGTCAACTTTAGTGTTAACAAAGTTTACATGAGATTAAAAAAATTAATACTACTTAAAACAAAAAATACCAAGAATTCACCCAAACTTAATTAATTGAAATATATTAAAAAAAAATTGAGAGTCACCGTGCTATTTTTTTGAAAGTGCTGGTTATAAATTCAGTTATAACGACCAATTTGTGAAGTTCATAATCTTATTGCTGTCATTTGTCAGTATGCAAATCCAGGAATTTGTTGATATTTAATAGTCACATGGTTCAATGTAGCGCCCTCTTGAGTTCTCCCTTCCCAACTAGAGTTAGGGTTGCTACATCAAATGAACATCTTTGATTGGTTGGTATTCAATACAGTGCAATTTTCAAATTAAATAAAATACCTATGATTGCTTCACTGGGAACTTCTTATCTACTTTTTACGTCTAGTAAACCCATCCCTTCCTTTGCTGCTTCATTAGTTTTTTTTTTTTTTTGAGACATAACATACCGTAATCATAAAAATAACTTTCAGCATGTTCCGTTTCCAGTATAGGGCTGCAGCACTTGTTATTGTTGCTATATTAATAAAGCATGTTTTTATTTTTTTTAAATTTATTTCTGCATGTATTATATTTATTGATGCCGTTCATTGCCAACCTGGTTTTTGCTTCTGAAATACTATTTGAAGGTGAAATAAGTGCAATGCTGTGTTGAAACGTTATCAGTCGAACATGTGCCATATTATTCAAACCAATATGCAAATTATGTTATTGACATGCAAATCAGGATTATTTACTCTTTGAACGCCATCACTTTTGTCACTCATTTTTTACAATTTTCTATATTTGTCTCTTAATTTTGAACTGAACATTATTACCCTCTGGCTACAATTATTGTTCAAAATTGACAAAAAGGTTGACGAGTGACAAAAGTGACTTTGGCTTTCAAACGGCTAAATAAATATTTTGTCTGTTTATGAATAGGTTTTATAGTTTGCAGCATGAGCAGTAGATTTGTATTCTCATAGGGAGGGAGGGAGGGAGGGGTAGCTCTGTTACATAAATTTCAAATCAGATTATAAAATCTATGTAGCGTTCCACTCGATATATGCTGCTTGACTAACATCCAAGTACGCTAGAATGGAGGGGAAAAAGTCTATTGGCCAAAAATCAAACTTGAGAGGTTATTTGAAATATTTTTTAAGGTTTCTGACACAAAACCAATTAATTTGAATTAATTTTTGGAATTTTTTATTAAAATTTATACCCATAATTCTGCACCAAAAATCATAAATTTAAGTCTTGGTAAAAAATTTATGATGGTGCAAGAAGAATAAGCTAGAGTTAACATCTGACTGCGCTGACCACCATCAATAGATGTTAGTTAAATGACATAGAACGAGAGAAATGCTACATAAATTACATATTATTTAACTTCTTCCATAGTGTGGGTGACATTTGCAGAAATCAGAATGAGATATGCAGCCTACATACCTCGTTGTTAGTGAATTAGCATATATTATCTGTGGGTGAATCAAACATGATAGAAAACCATGGTGATTCATCCTGTATTATGTTTTGTACACAATCTCTGAAGGGCACCCATCCTGGTATTAGAACCCATCTTTCTCATGTTTGTGGTTGAGGGCGCCATAGCCTTAAATTTGGTGCCCTCTATAAGTTCTCTTCTGAAGTGGGTACCACAGATAAACTTAAATTTCTTTTCACAAACATCAACTTTTTTATTAAGACTTAAATTTATAACTTTCTGGCGCAGAATAACTAGTATAAATTTAGATAAAATATGATAAAAAGAAAAGGAAAATGTTTTTTGGGGTCAAAATCATCCAACATTTCCAAAACGTAACATACTTGTCTGACTTAGTGCCAAGAATACTGAGCTCCAAAAATCAAACACATTACAGTATTTTGTACACAGAATTTACAATGTGAAATTTACTAGGTCTGTGGAAAAACAGCAAAGTGGAAATATTATTGTATTTATTCACAGCAATTGATATCCATGCTGTAATTAGTCCCCGTTCGGACGAAGTCCGAAAACGGGGACTTATAATTCGGTCTCCGTCCGTCCGTGCGTCTGTGCGTCCGTGCGTCTGTCCGGAGTCATATCTCAGAATCCCTTGGACCGATTCTGTTTATTCTTTGCATGTGCCTAGTACTTTATGTGGGACATATGCACATGCAGTGGTTTAGCGATTCGATTCAAAATGGCCGACTGGCAGCCATCTTGTTTTTTGAAAATGTTGTATTTTGGACATGCTTTGTCAGTTTTCATTCAAACTTGGTACTGTAAAGGGGGTAATTATTCACTGGGTTTTATTTTAGCTTATTTCGCTGACTGGAAAAATGCGCTAAATTAAAACACAGTGAATATGTAAAATTCGCTATGGAACACAGTATCTAAATGACAAAACCGTGAATTTAAAACCCACTGAATATGCCTGAAATGTTAAATCAGTGAAATTTAAACCCAGTGAAAATTAGTCATTTTACAGTA